TTAAAGCAGTACTCTCTTTGTCATATCTTCGGATATATACATGGTTGTTCCTTTTAAGTTTTTAGCATGTTGCTGCACTAACACTCTATCCGCGTACCTCACGAAACGGGCTTTGATGGCTCTTGGTCTCCCTCTCGCCCCAGCATTCCCGAAAAGGCGATGTACCCGCTGGTATTCTATCTTGTCGGCAAGTTCGACGGGAATCTGAAGCTGTTCAACATGCAGATCCCGAAGGACCTGCTTAACATTCTCATTCTGCACCTCTGGGATTCCAGTATAAATCAAGTTCTCCCTGGCTACTTAAGCACTTAACTTGTCAATCTCATCTTCAAGTAGTTTTTCCTTTAAACTTAGCTCCTTCTCTACGCGGTCCACTTTTCCCTTCGATTCCTGTACTTCTTTGCTTTGAAATTCAGCAGCTTCCTTTAATCCATTTATCGTTACTTCTAAATTTTTCATCCTCTGTCCAAAAGTTTCTTCCAGAAGGTCCCATCTGCTCTCTATTCTATCCCACTGATCATTAAGAAGTATACGTATGGATGGTATCACGTCGGGGCTGGGCGGCGTTGTCGCCCTAGCCCGTTTCGATGTGGCCTTTCCTCTTTGAGAAGTCATGATGGGAGAGGCCCGAGAAAGCACGTCTTACTTCCTCACGAACATAATCATGGTCAAGTTCTGACTATGTAGCCATTCGAGGGTTTCTAGCGCCCTTTATCATTGTAAACCTTATTTCTCTTTTTGCAGATTGCTATAAAAGAATATTGTTACATGTTAAATTGAGATGGAATAATAGGAGTAAAAGCAATGTTTAGGGTTAGACCAGGATATTATTGGAGTTTGTTTGGAAGTAAGAAAAGTATGGAAGATAAATATTTGAATTGGATTGGTTGATGAAACTTGTATTTGATGCAGATATAAGGAGATTTATAGTTTCCAGGATTTATCAATGTTTCAGGTCTTGAGATATTCTGGTATTTAAAAGCAGAGATATTTTTTCTTTGTTCCATTATTATGATATATTGTTAGTTTCATTATTCATTCTATAATATGTGCTTACTGTGAAAAGGGGGGAACCAGGATAGCCCTATTTAAGTTTATGTTATTAGGATATTTGCATTGTCTTAATATTTAAAGGTATAGTTTATTGAACAAGAATTAAGTAGTGATATTGAGGTCACATGATAAGGTTATTAAACCTAGCTTGATGTGTTGGTTTATCCAAATATGTGAATGTATTGCTTTATATGAGGTTTATATTGACTGTTACTTCTAGTTGTTTAAGTATTTGGGTCAGTTATTTACCTGTGTTAATGTTGAGAGTTTCAGCTACATTGTACTGTGGCAATTGGTTTTTAAAGGGCAAATTTACTCGTTTAATATTTGATAACATGACATGTTTTGGGGAATGCATGATCTCCATGATTATCGGCATTAGTGATATGTAATGTGTCTGTTACTGGTTACTACTAATAAAGACTCTTTGCTTGGCCCTCTCACAGGATCTGTCTGTCATTGATTTCGAGTTCTCGACCACCTCACAATAACATGAAAGGAATGGGTTTGTTTTGAGAAAAAGATACATTTTCTGTTTTATTAAAAATTAGTTCTACGTTGTTGGTACTTGCACTGCCGATTAAGCTGTGTCTTTCACAAACTGATATTCATGAGGAAATCCATAATACGAAAGTTTAAATCCCTTTTGAATCAGTAGTTATTTTAACAAAACAAAAATTCAACTATATGGTTTAGCAAATTGCAATAAGCTTCATATAGGGGAATTAAAATTGAATCACAAACGTAGCTGTGTGATCATGCGATAATGTTGTAGGGCTGTATATTGTACTCCAAATTAACCTTTGAAGTTTACTTTGTTTTCCTAAAAGTTGTAAGTTCAATGGTGGCTATAATTAGCCTCTTTGATTTCTATAGACTCTGTGTCCCTATTCATCACCAAGAATGTTCTTCTTTTCATGTTCACATCCCACCGCTGCCGCACTCAGACATTTACTTTCTTTGTCCACTCTAAAGCAGGGCTCCCACGAGTTGGAACCTCGAGTTGTGGCGAGCTTGCGCGATCTTATGGAAAGCCGTTTTATTATTAATTGATATCAAGAAATCAATTCTTGTTATCAAGAAATAATGTTATGTTTAAAAGCAATGGTAATTCTTGATATCAAGAATTCGATTTCGTGATATCAGGAATTCCATTTCGTGATATCAAGAATTCAATTCTTAATATCACGAAATCGAATTCTTGATATCACGAATTCAATTATTGATATCAGGAATTACCAATGCTTTGAAACGTAAAATTATTTCTTGATATCAAGAAATATTTTTTTAATGATAAAACGGCTTGCCATAAGCTTGCTCCAGCTCGCCACAACTCGAGGCTCCAACTCGGCTAAGTGGGAGCCCTGCTCAACACTCATTTACAAGAAACCCCTCTCCCTCCTCTCCTGTCACCTCACCACTCTTCCAGCCATAACGGTCACATGACACACCACTGTGCACCCTCTCTTTTGCTTGGCCCACTTCCTTTGAATATGTAGTATGTAGTCACATGACTGACTTCCTTTTTAAATATTAATGAGGATGTTACTGCTATACTTAGTTGCTTAGTTCAAACATATGCATGCATGTTGGAAAGAACAGGGAATAAACTTAGAGCTTCTGAGCAAAGAGGCATTCTGAACCAGAGGTACCAAACAGTAAACATCGCCTCCTCGCTTCTTCCTTTCTGTTGTGGAAAAGAACACATGCAGTCGCACACAAAACTGAGCCCCGCAATACTATCAAATTCACCACGATCCCACAACAGATCGAAATTGCTATAAAGTTGTGCAGCCAGGTTAAAGTTACAAAAACATAATTTAATTGTAACACACAAAATTGTAATCATAAAATACAACTCCAATTACACAAGTCATGTGCATTATAATGGTGATTATATGACGATCCCATCACAGACGCTAATATCATATAACACATGTGACATTTTCGAATGTGAAACGCATATGACCTAATTACAAACACCAAGTATGATGGGGAGCCCTATGTCCGCGTGAGCACCGAACATTAGACTTGAAATCGAGAAGAAGAAAAAATCTTCTATATTCCCCTATAGTGCATACTCCCATGCATATTAATACTCTTTTCTTAAGAGTAAGAGTGCCAATAAAATTGAGAAAATTCAAGCATAAACAATGTTATTTTCACAAAAAAGGCGGATGTGTCATTATATGCCCCCTCATTCATTTTACACTGAGGTTTGGGATTTTTGACGTGAAAGATAGCATGTCGATGCTTGTGAATAAAATTACTGAAATAAGACTTTCTAGTTTTTACTCGTTTTTGCACGAATAGGTAAAAACAAAAGGATGTCAAATTTACGTTGCTTGCCTATTTTATGCTATATTAAAAAAAGGCGCAGACATGGACACTCTAACCATATATATTACATAAACTATAATGATCATCATATCTTTCCATATCTAGAAATTACACTGACAGTTGTGCAAAAATAGCCACGGAGGTTGCAAACTAAAGTATTTTTCAATATAGGGTACTAAGGAAGTAAGGTTTTTACTAAATATGCATATCACACGAATATATAAATCGTCTACGAATTCTACAAGACATAATCTATGATAAACAACGAAAAGAAGGGCATGTTTATGTACATCTCACGAGTAGCCTCTATGTCATATCACACCTATACATACATGCAAATAATACTAATTACCAACCCACCCTTATTCCCAAGATATGCATTATAATCCATGCCCCATTATAATAACAACAGACTATATAACATCGTGTTTGGAAGACAGTGTAAATGCCCCTATTTACACTGTCTTCCAAACACGCCAAAAAAATGCCAAACCGGAGCATGACCGCGATGTTACCAAGGGCAACTACGCTTTACCGGCAGAAATGCCAAGCCCGAAACATTCCAAAACAAAGTGTGATCTTTTGGCGTGTTTTTGCGTGTTTGGTAAGTATGAACGCTCGCAGTTGTAACATCGCGATGTTAGGTCACGTGACTTTAGGAGCGGAGCTAGCTGTCGTCCTTGAAGAAGATGATAGAACGATGTAAACAAAGAATATTAAAGAGAAGGTGAAAGAAGGAAGAAACAAAGAATACCATAAGGAAAGACAGAAAGAGAAAGTGATAGAATGATAAAAAACAAAGATTAACATAAGAGAAGGTGATAGAAGGAAGAAAGAAAGAATAACATAAGGAAACACAGAAAGAGGAAGTGATAGAATGATTAAAAGAAAACTAAGAATAACATAAGAGAAGCTGATAGAAGAAATAAATAAAGAATAACAAAAGGAAACACAGAAAGAGGAAGTGATAGAATGATTAAAGGAAAACTAAGAACAACATAAGAGAAGGTGATAGAAGGAATAAATAAAGAATAACATAAGGAAACACAAAAGAGGAAGCGATAGAAGGAAGACACAAAGAATAACATAAGTAAACACAGAAAGAGAAAGTGATAGAAGGAAGTGATAAGGAAAACATAGGAGAAGATGATAGAAGGATAAACAAAGAATAACATAAGGAAAGACAGAAAGAGGACAGTTTTTACATCGGAGTGCCGCGCATGCGCATTACCAAATAAAACACGCCAAAACATCACTGAGCTTTTCAGTCAGTGATGTTTCCGCACAAGTGTAAACGGGTGCGCGAAACATCGCGACTTTTCAAAATGAGGTATTTGACAGTATAAATGCGCCTTAAAGGCGCATTTATACTGTCAAATACCTAGTTCAATACATTTTAGAAAAAGTTTTACATGTATGACCGCGCGAAAATAACAGCATTGTCAATAGAACTTTTTTTTATGTGGTGGTGGTTATTTTACATGACTGCTAAGAAAGCATATATGCTTGTAGTAAGCAACCAGACGGCCTACGGCTTTAGGTCCTCTCCGAGGGACCTGGTAGTGAGGATTAATGCCTTACCAAAGGGCACTAGCGCATCGACTTGGTTTCGAACCCGGGTCACCGGAATACGAGACCACTGCTCTACCAAATTTGCCTTCGCGCCTCCATATCAATTGTGACCTCAGGTTATTTCAAAATCGCAACATTCCTACGTGACGTTTTATTATTTTACTAAAAATGTCTCCTATTCATTTCTGCAGAATTATATAGAGACAAATTTGCGTTCTGATAGATAACAAATAGTAATTATTAAACTTTTTACATTCTACATAAATCAAAGTATAACATTCCAAAAGATTGCTCTTCAAATGCTCTCACATTTAAGATATGACGAGAAACAGCTGAGTTTGGACCAAACTTTCTTGTCAATAATTACCATTCGAGTTTATGTATATACAAAATATGAAAAAAAGCAAACTCCTCAAAATTCAATAGTTATCACTTCATTAATCCTTACCTGTATTCATTAATAATTGATTGCGACTTCAACAATTAATAACTTCCATGTTTATCAGGTTTTGCTCAAACATTGCCCGAACTGTTTCTCGACTTTTTGTGCTTTTATTGAATTTACCAAGATTTTAGGTGGACTTCCCCTTTAATAGTTTGACATGAAATCAGGTGCTAGACTAGTAGTTATTAGAATATCCGCTGTCTCCGCATTTCTCTTCAAGAAGCTTTGCTGTCGGTGGAGTGTCTGGAATCTCGTCCTCTTCTTGCCGAGTTTGTAGAACTGAATCTGAACTCTGTGAAAAGAACAGAAGGAGCCATTATAAAGTTAAAATAGTATTTTAAATGTAATGTTAGTGGGACGGATGCAAATGATGGAATCAAGGATAACATAAAGTACCAAGACAGTACAGTCCTTTCATATTTTAGTAGAAAGTGCTCGAATGTAGGATAAAAGGATTGTTAAATATTTGGTTATATAAATATGTAAAATTGAAATTGAAAGGTGTAATCAATTAAAGAATGATATATATACATATAAATAATGAAGACAAGGCAACCTTAAACAAAGTTTTTAAACGAACATCCTTAATTTTAGAGTGACAATTATCTTGAAGCTATAATTTTTTTTAAACAATTGATGTGATTCAATATTTGATTGAGAATTCCATAACGTGCTTTGTATCTGAAAGTGAAAGAAAACAAATATGGTCATGTTTTTAAAATAAAATAGTATTGGTATGCTTGCCTTGTTGATATTTCTTGGTTTGAGAGGGAATAAATACTTCTTGATGCGATTGTTAACTCTATTGTCTAGCTTGACAGTCTTACTGGTCCAGAAAGCAACAAGTCGGGAAACCTCGTCGTCTACGACGTCATGTGCATACGATGAAACATTAGTACCCTAAGTAAAGATATGAAAACAGAGAAAATAAATCAACCAAATGAATAAGCGAAAAATTTATAAAATGCCTATTTAGATTATGGACAATATTTACTAACATTAGTGCAAGCGTGTTTTCTAAAACTGTCCAATCACTTTATCATGAAAAAAACTATTTCACGTAATCAAAAAATAATAATTAAGTAAAGCTAACCCACTTTCAACCCTAAATTTTCAGATTACGGATTACAGCGACCGGTGAAGTGCTAAAATTTATGCTGTGAAAGTTCCCCTCAAATATCATGATAATCAAAATCATGCCTGGTTTTTAGAATTAAGGTTAGGCAAGATGGAGGGGTGACCTTGTTTTCCTCAAATCCAATAATTACTGTGTATCCGTATGGCACCTTCACTATGCAAAGGGAATCGGGTGTCATACACCCCCCCCCCCCCCCCCCTCTCCCTTCTCACCTTCTACCGAAGCCCCTGTATTCCTTGCCCTAGGCGATGTACGATAAATAAAATGTAGCTTATTTCCGAACTATTTTCACAGACAATATTTAATAAAGTATGTTGCGTTTACAGATTTCATCTCTCCTTACCAGCAGCATAGCAGTACTGCAGTTCAAATTATTGTTGACCTTTGGTCCAGAGTGTCCTGCCTTCAGAAAATCCAGAATGATTTGTGAAATAGCGTTGCGTATCGCAGCTCTCTCGGATGGCTTCTTCACTAGTTCCTTACGTAAGACAGTAGACAAAGGGTTACCTGCCACCATACTGCTGGTCATTGATGACGTCATGTTTGATTGCATGAGAAGAGACTGAGTAAAAGAAACATGAATGTTAAAGAGGGTATATTCCATTTTATCTCGTGATTGGGAAGGTGGGAACAGACGTTTGCTTGCAAAAGAGAATAAAACAACAACAACGGAATTTTTGCAATTGACATCAACAATCAAGTATTACTTGGTCAATTTACCACTGCAACCATATCAAAAATTGTATTTATAAGAAGGAAAAGTCCAAGATCTTTTGTCCTATGTTACCGACCACATGTCATCACTCAAGATTTCAGTATGTGATGACTGCATCGGGGTGATAGCCCTAATTGAGTTTGAATCAGGCAAACAGTACACAATTCCATAATGCGATGTAATAATACGTTGTAATGTGTGGGACCTACAATGAACTTACTGGTACAGATGATAGGTGTATGGTTTACTTTTTACGTTATAGCTTGCTTGTTACTGCGTTGATACCAATATGAACATGATGAAAATATCCTCACCGACTGGATAACTCTATTTCCTTGATAGGCTGGTATTTGAGATTCATCTGTCACTTCCTGGAAGGCAGGCATGGTGATCAGGATCTCACACTCGTCTCTGTCTCTTTCATCAAGAATCCCATTAAGGTCTTGAAGAACCATATATACGAATGGAGCATCGGGATCGCTTAAGCCTTCAGTCGTCATGCTCTTCTGAAAAGTCCCGTTCTAAATACAGATATGAGTAATTATAATGCATGTTATTTTTTGTAAATTGTGCAAGTAGTGTGAACTCCACTTTGCATATTATAACTCAATGTCCTTGTGCCCTCTTGACTATTCACATTAAGAAAATATGGTGCAAGTATGCACATTTAGGGGTACAAACCGATGCAACACTAGCAGCACCTTTAGGGGTTAAATCCTGCACCCTTTAAAGGTGCAATCCTGCACCCTTTAAAAGGATGCCAGATTGAACCTTTTAGGGGACATGTTAGTACCCTTTATGGTTCAATGCTGCTCCATTAGGGGTGCAAACCGATGCAAAGAACAGCACATTTAGGGTTTCAATCCTGGACACTTTAAAAGGTGCAATCCTGCACCAATACTCGAGGAATACTTGTAAAATTTGCTCGTACAATCGTATAATCAATATATATATTGCTAAAACGTGAATGTATGTAACATGATCAGACAAAATATTATATTGGTTAATGATTGCCGAAGGAAAAATACAAATCACAAAATTGATGTGCATTGTCATAATTTGCACGTGTAAAGTATTCATGAATATGCATGCAATATGTAAACTTTTATTTTGCACCCTGTTTTGGTCAATAGGGTTCATTTTTGTTGGAAGGGTGCAAAATCTTATGTTGCACCCTGTTTTGAACCCCTTTTCCTTCAATAGGGTTAATTTTTATGTAAAGGGTGCAAACTCTTATTTTGCACCATTTTTTGCACCTTTTTTCTTAGAGTGTTGAGTGCATGGAAAATCCTTTCATTTCTCAATAAAAACTATTGTATGGTATTAAGAACTTTATGTCTATCATGGTTATATTTGTTCTCGAACTTCTCGTATTTATGTTATCAAATTGTTTATTTTAAGCATGATATTATTCATCTCTTCACTGCAGTCTTGAACCCAATTTTGATATGCAAAAAAGAAGAAGAAATAAATGATTGATTGAATGAATGTATAAATGAATGAATGAATATATAAAAAAAATTAATGAATTGATAAATAGAACAACCCCTTTATGAGCATAATTTCAACTGACCATGTCTATGAATGAAGATTGGATGGTAACATTGGGATCCACGGGTGACTGGTGATTCTTGTAAGGTTCGACACGTTTATCTACCAATGCTACGACGGCAGCCTTAATGGATTCCTTGATTTCTTCTGGCGCGGAGCGTAGATCATCAAGAAGGACTTGTCCTACTCCAATCAATGGAAACTGTTGCTCATCGCCCAGCACCTGAGAAACAAAGCCGGAAAGAAAAACCAGATTAAAACAAGAAATAACTGTACTTTCACGTGAAAAAGATGGATATGATACTCGCATGTCTTATGTACATAAAGGGGTTGTTCTATTTGTCAAATTATTAATTTGTTCATATATTCATTCATTCATTTATACATTCATTCAATCAATAATTTTTTTTTTTTTTTTTGGCATATCAAAAGTGGGTTCAAGACTGCAGTCCGGAGATGAATAATGTCATGCTTAAAATAAACAATTTGTAAGAGTGTCGTAGTCGAGTGGTTTATGCACTTGACTTGAAATTCAAAGGTCCTGGTTCGATCCCCGACACGGCACTAAAGACCTTTGGCAAGGCATTAATCTTCATTTGCCATACTCGACCCAGGTGAGGTAAACGGGTATCTGGCAGGAAACAATTCCTTGAAATGCTAGAGCGCTGTAATGGCAGCTAGGCTAAAGCCGGGGTAATAATTAGTGCGCCTCGGAATAGAATTTCTAGATAGACGGCGCTATAGAAATGCCCATTTTACTAAAGGCGTCTTTAGAGGGACATTTGGAGTGAAAAGAAGGACAAATTTGGTGTCTTCTTAACGTTTTTTACGTTTTATTTCTCATAGAAGGCCCAATTAAAAAAAAAATATATCTCTCTCTCTATATATGTAATGTTACTAAAAGGCGTCGTTAGAGGGACATTTGGAGTGAAAAATGAGTCATTAAGTAGACATTGGGGTTAGGGTTAGGGTTAGGATTTTTATGATGTCCACTTAATGTACCATGTAGGGTTATATATATATATATTATTATTGTTGTTGTTATTATCCCGCACAATTCTGCCAGTGCAAATCACATGACCGTTTCTAGTTTTGTTAGGTGATAACAAGGTAATGTTATTGTGCCCATGCGATTGATAAATGTGAAAGTGTTCAGAATATTTTCTTGGGAGGATGAAAGAGGCTAATTTTAATTCTATGATTCAATAACGACTGGTGTTTGGTGGTGTGGCAACTGACAACTGACAGAGAGTGACTGCTAAAACAAAGTGTTTCAGCAGGACCTCATGCATACTGTAATTTTATTAAGCACATAATACTTAATGACGAGTAAAAAGTAAGTTTATGTTAATAAAATTAGGAGAGTTCTCATTACTTTATTAGATATTATTCGACATCAAATTTATTTCAATAAAATATTTTTTGCTGTTTTGATATAATTGAACTCTTTTCCTTTTACACGGAACTCTTACAAGGGAAAAACAAACACAAAAAAATCGTAGAAAACATTTTGGAAAAACTTACAATGTCTTGATTGCAGGGCTTTGGGGAAACGTCATTATCATCAATTCCACCATCGGTGGATTCAATCACTGGTCGTGATGTATCCAGCCCTCCTACACTGCTTCCTGTGGACTGAAAAAAGATGTACATTATTTTACTACACTGTTACCCGTTAAGTTGGAATATTTGTTCACTTACCTCTTTTCATGAAATGATTGTGTATTTTTTTTATTTTTTATAATTTGAATATTAATATTATTTAATCTTGAAAGACAGAGTTTGTATCTACTCAGAACTTGATCAACCTCTATGACTCTTTAGATTGATTAATAAATTTCTGTGAACATATACACTTTATCTATCAAATATAAATCATATTGTCACAATCATTTCATGAAAATAGGTTTGACAAAATATTCCAACTTAATGTACATGTTTACTCGTGTCCACAATAATGTCATGACCGAGTTAACGAGTTTTGACGGAGTAGAGAGATAGATTTTTCATTCGAGGGATGCCAACTAGAAATATGGAGTTCATATTTTGTATAAAGATTGTTATAAAGTTTGATATTTTTTTTCAAACGCCCCTCACAATGAACACAATGACATCTTTGAGCGAGACTACACACTGCCCAATGGTTATTGTCCTATAAGGAGCTTGTTGACCTTGAGCGAGGCATTTTCTCTCCATTGTTTCTATCAACACAGGTGTTGGATACCAGGTAGGATGTAAATGCCATTGTACTTTGATTAGCATGGGTGTGCTTTCAAACGAGTGACTTGCTGGAATGGAGTGGAGAATGTACACTGTAATGTGTATATTCGTAATTGAATCCAGTGACTGGGGTTACCGTTATACTAATGTAAGTGCTTTGGACGATTTCGTTGTAACTGGTAGGCACTGAACAAAACTTTAGTAGTAGCTGTCGTTTTGGAATGTAGTTTCAGGCGCTATTGTCCTAGGGGCAGTTTTTTGTGTGGGTAGTTTCCGTTCGACATGGGCAATAGTCAAGTGATACATATCCTAGAGTATTTTTGTTATTGTCCATTTTCCCTCGGCATGCTTGGAGAGATGTTTATATTCACAATAAACTAATCATTATATGATTGAATAATGACATTGCGATATTAAACTGTCAATATTGTTAAGCAGTATTTTCAAAAACATATCAGAAATAAAAGTACTTGAATGACTATGAAAAACCATCTGATGTTTTCCCATCTTTAGATAATTGAAAAAATGTATGTATAATGCTAATATGTTCTACTTACATTTTTCCAGCTATCCTTCGAAACAACGACTTTTCCTGCATTATATCCACAGCTGTTCATTACCTATAGGGGCGATTTACACAAGATATTCGGTTTTCGAGTTGCTTTTGGCTACAGTTTAAAATAGTGTAATAAGTGATTATTGATATGCACGTGTTTCATGGCGAATTAATATTATGAATTAACAAAGAGCAATACATTTTTAAGCCTAATCATGGCGTAATTTTAAATGCAAGTACACACTTTATGGCATATTTTCGATCCTTGAATTTCCATTTGTTTAGGTAACTGCGTGTTTTTTATTGTTTGTTCAATATATAACATTGAACATACGGCTATGACGTTATGTATATGGATCAGGATTATTACCGTTGACTTCCACGTGAGATTTGGTGCTAAACAGAAACCTTTCCCTAGGAAACAGGAAAAAACAAAGAGAAAATAGCATTGTTGGTTATAAAAAGAAATTCAGTGCTGATCGTGTAAATGGCTTCTTAATTTTATTTTTTTTTTATGTTATGTAATTTGGTATGATACAAAAATATCATATTTACGGGAGAATCTAATCTCTCCTTTAATAGTATAATTTGAAGAGTAAGATCAAACTTATTTGTTAATGCTTATCATCGGCATGATCAATGATCACTGGTATTGTTACACTAACTTTTCGACGTAGTCACCTCATTCGTTGAGACATTCGCAGGGGAAAGGAAATTTCAAAAAAAAATAGGCGCATATTAAGGCAACACGGTATATCAGATAACTGATACAGGTACAAAAAAAAACATTAAAAAAACTTTATATTCTTGCATGCTCATCAAAATTTATGAATTACTATCAACACAGGTAATATATACTAACTTTTTTTGCGTCTATACGCAGCTACTAAGCAAACTGCTATTAACACGAGGATCAGAATGATGGATAATACTATAATAGCTGCAAAACGTGCTCGATCATTTACAGATGCTGTAGTTGTTTCTACTGGGGGTCTACCAGTCGACGTTGCTTCTGAAAGTAGACAGTAACCATACAAGAATATTCATTTTATTATTAGTAAGGTCTGTAATATGGTAAATATATGTTCAGTTAATTTCTTCTGAATGAAATGAATCACCCTAAACTCTAAAGAAACTGTTATCAGTGGCGGATCCAGGTGGGCCCCAAAGCACCCATAACGGTTTGCGCACATGTTGGCTTCGCCCCCCCCCCCCCCCCTCCCTCCCTTATGAAAAATCCTGGATCCGCCGCTGGTTAGGCAGGTTTTCGTCATGATCGTTAATAGTCAGCTATTATTGCATTTTTTTTCAATGCGGATCATATGGTGTAACTTATGAATAATAAATACGTGTAAAAATAACAAAAATGAAAAATAATTATAGATTCATAATTTAGGAATTTGCTTTTCCCGAATGGGAGAAAAAGAAACGGATAGAAAGAGTAACAAAGGCAGAGAAAGGGAGGGAGAGAGGGAGGGAGGGAGGGAGAGAGAATTACAACGTAGAAAGAAATCATATTTTTAACAGGGAGAAGAAGATTATATAAATGCATACATGTTGCACCATAGGTATAGACTGTTGAAGAGAAGTAGATACAAATTAGAAACAAAACGTATTTGTTTTTCTAATTATCAAAAGGTATGCCATGGAAAATCTAGATGCTCGGTCTAATAATTGATTTAAAAGGTGTGATACGACATACGTTTATGTACTTTTACATTTTATTTCATATTTTCTAATACCTTTCTTGAACCATTTACATGTTATATACCATTCATGATCAAAACAATTAAATAGTTTAAGGCACATGGTTTAAATTAACAAATCTCAAACCTACAAGAGTTGTGCATTTGTATGCATATGTACGAAAGAGAAATACAATAATCAGTTGTAAAAGTTCAACATACCACGCGTATAGTAGACGCATACGGCTTTATTTTCCACGGCACCCTTCAGATTCGTATCCCTTGCCTTGCAGGTGAGAGTGATGTTTTCACTAAACCTTGACAAGTCAACAGATGAGGAGTGGTAGATGACTATATCCTCCTGGACCTCCTCCCAGGTGATAACTGGATGAGGAAAACCTGACGCAGAACACTGCAATGATGTAATGTTTGAACCATTGATGGAACAGCTACAACCATCCACCTCCTGCCCAGTGTCTTTGCAGTGGCTCACAGATACGCCTAAAACAAATTTCAAAGAAGAAAGATAAGAAGACGAAAAATGGGAGGAGAGAATTATGATGGAGAGCACAACACATGTGACTAGGTCTTCGTAGAATATCAGTCTCACACATGACATTTGAAAATGTAATTCAATTCACAAGTCACTTGATCGACACTTTTCCCTTCCCTACATCTGAATTCCAGGGATAATCAGTAGTTCCCGATACGTTTGAGGACTTCCAATAGCAATCTCTCTCAAATTATATTTGTAGTAGAGTGTAAACATACTGTAGGCCTAATGCTTATGTAATAAGTTTAAGTGTACAATAAGAAACGAATAATCAGTCTCACAGTGCAACGAGGAGGCAATAGTCAGCCATAAATTCAGTGTAATGTTCGTTTCACATGAGGCGTGATTATGACTGAAAATGAACAGCTAATGCATGTATGATCGTTGCATTCATCGAACCAGTCGCCTTCACAGAATTCATTAGCACAGGCGATTAAAGTATTGAAATGATAATGACAGTATGACACACCGTGTTATTCGGGTATAATGTTGGAAAGTGATGTTGATGACGTGACGTATAAAGTTTTTTTTCAGGAAGCTGTCGAACCATAATTTGAAGTCCGTGTTAAATGTAGGGTGAGCGCATGAGAATAGATCACCATTAGGACCACATACCCAGACAGTGGCGGATCCAGGGGGGGGGGGGGGCCGGGGGGCCCGGGCCCCCCCCCCCCCCCCCCCTTGAGAAAAAAAATCATGTAAAATCACGTGATTTTTACCTTTTTGGGGGGTTGGGCCCCCCCCCCCCCCCTGGCACCAATATCCTTTGGCAAGATATTAACCTGCACTTGCTACTCTTCACCCAGGTGCCCACCCAGTAGGATTCGACCGTCATTGAGCGTCATGTAACGCCTGGCTGGAATGCTCCCCAGGGAGTCTGTGCGGGCAATGATCGGGATAATAATATATCTGTAAAGCGCTTAGAGACATCAAGCGCCATATACAAGCGGAATTATTATTAATATTATAATTATTGTCCTTTATACCTATCACGTAAAGCTGCATGACATCACTCTCGTCAGTTGCAAAGGACTGCTGAAAAACCACTTTACAGGAATAGTTTCCAGCGTCGCTCTCCGTGACATTAGGTATGACGAGAGACGCAGTGTCAACGACCAGGTACTTCCCATTAGAATTCTCCCCATTGCTTGTTCGGGAATAGATTGTTGTCCCATCTCTCCTCCAGTAAAGAGACTGCAGATCAGAGTCCAGGTTTTCAATCTGACATTGTAGAGTTGCAGTCTTCCCAAAAGACGTCGTTATAACTGGATCAAAATAAACCAGAATATGCATAATGTGCAACACTAAAATAACAGTATATTCAAACATAAACCAGTCGGGATTAAAGATGGTGTTTGGAACGTCAATATTGTTTCTTCTGAGTAATCACATCTAAATTCATCAGACAAATCATTATGGAACATGTTTCAAGAGTATCAGATCCCTTTTCATGTGTACACCTGTTACTGGAATAACCCATTGGTCCATATGTGGTTTAACTTTAAAGACTGGAGTTTACATTCAACACGAATTCAGAAGACAGGACTATCTTCTTCATTAATATTTCAGTTAAAGTGGAAGACATCCTTCTTTCATTCTAAAGACTTACAAAAGTGTGATACTAAACACAGTGATTTAATTAATGTAGGGTTCATGTCAAGGATATTCTTCAAATAAGCATGCACGTAATTTATTTTGTAAATGTTACTAGAAACTATCATTTCCAGATGTATATATGATAAGTGATGAGCAATAAATGGAAACAAATAAAACTGGTTACAAAACAAGCAATGACCGAAACTAATACACCCCCCAAAACAGGAGATGTTGGCCATGGTTGCTCCCAAATCTAACGGTCATTAACTCTTTTTGAATTAGATCATAATACTATGGAATATTCTGTTTCATTAATCTGTATCATTAATATGTATTGCGCCTAGAAGCAAAGTATTAGGCGCATTATATTAATGTGAGCTATTATTAGTATTAATCGTTCATGATGTAATAAAAACAATCATCACGTTAAATTGATGAAAATATTTTAATTTTTTCGTTGCTGTTGACACACTGCATCTTAAATTGTACAGCTTTTGTTAGTCTCTGGTGGTTCAGAGTTTGGCAGATTACCTTGTGATCCGAAAGAGCTAGAAACACTGGCCAAGACAGAGACGATGATCAATATAGAACGATAATCCATCTTAGGAAACAGACACCTGTAAAACAACAAGAAAGGATTGATGTGATTATAAACTTTGATGATACGAAACTCCTTCAAGATAATACCTTATATATAACCCTTCATTTTGTACTAACCGGACATCTACCCCTAACCCTAAATTCAAAACAATATAATCAATTAAACTTTTGACTATAAATGTTTAAACCTTTTGTTTCTTGGGAGGCGTTTAGGTTTCCTCTGCCTGCAAACGTACGTAGAGGGCAGTTAACAGGACACGAACATGTCCTGCCAATGACCATTTCTACTTAATGACTCATTTTTTTAAAACTACATATGTCCTTCTAATGACGTTGTAAGATGTATTGTTTTTATTTTAGAAGGTGAAGGATGAAGTGAAGTATACAGTAATGATGAAGTATAGGACGAATATTCATGAGAGCGCTATTGAAAGTAGCAGTAGAGGTAGTAGGAGAGTAGTAGTCGTAGTAGTAGCAGCAGCAGTAATAGTAGTAGTAGTAGTAGCAGTAGTAGAAGTAGAGGTGTATTAGGAGTAGTAGTAGTAGTAGAGATAGTAGTAGTAACACTAGTAGTAGTAGTAGAAGTAGTAGCAGCAGTAGTTAGTGGTAGTACTATTAGTAATACTAGTGCCAGTAGTACTACTAGTAGTAGTTGTAGTAGTAGTAGTAGTAGTAGTAGTAGTAGTAGTAGTAGTAGTAGTAGTAGTAGTACTAGTAGTAGTACTATCAGTAATATGAGGAGAAGGAGGTATGACAGACACTGATAAATGAATGTAAATGAGATAGATGAATATAGATATACTCAATAGTGAATAATTAAATAAAACATGACATTAGTAGAGTCAAAGTGTGTAGACCCCGCTGATATTTTTCGGGGACAAAGGTTTTTAAGTGTTTTTGAGTTGTTTGGAGGTCAATGATTAAAATTAGCTTGGGTAGTCCCCTCCTAACCCCCGGCAACTCTCGTAGGGGTCAAAATAAGGTCAAAATGGGGTCAATAGGGGGTCAATTTTTTTAAATGCCCTGATTATATTAAAAGACTTGTCAAATTGTTAGTCTCGTCATACTGAACAAAAAAGTGTACATGATCATATACCCCTGACCTCCCGTTAAGAAGTTATGGCCGGAAAAGTCAAAAGGTCAACGAACTTTCATTTGAGGGCAAAATGCACTAAAAGTGTTAGGATCGATCAATTTTCATGTTTTTTGTGTCTATTTATATGTATTTTGATTTAGAAATTTGAATGAGACAATTTCTACTTAAGAAGACCCTGTTCAAAAGATATAAAGGGTCAAAATAAAGTCATTTGGGGTCAAATGAGCTCCTTTGAGATCAAAATACACTAACAGACTTTTGTGTCAAATTATGTGTAAATTGATGAATAATAGTGAATGAATTTTTTTTTTTTTTAAATTTAGAAAACCATATTCAATTGATGTAAGGAGTCATTATAAGGCCAAAATGGGGTCATTTGGGGTCAAAAATGTTTAATTGACCTAAATTGTGCTGTAATGCACTCTCACACTGAATGAGAAAGAGCAGTTTCATTCTAGGGTTAAAATACGATAGGAGTGACAACAAAGCCATGTTCATTTTTTTTAAGTGTCACAATGTAATTTAACTGGTGGCCACAATGTCAAATTAGCTTGATTGTTTTTATCTGCCCATCAGTTACATACACAACCCTGCGCTCTCTTACTAGGTATGGTTAATGTCTTAATTTGTTGCAACATACCTTTAAGGACGGATAGATGTGACAAATCAGAGGTTCTACGCATAGTCGGAATCTTCAGAGACAGAGTCTTGATCATTATCGATATCCGAATCGGAGTGATTTGCAATAAATCTTACCACTTCAAACTGAAGTTGACAGCACTGTATGGTGATACCAGTGATACATCTTAAAAAATAACATGCAATGTGTATTTTCGAAATCGTGGGGCGATTATGCAAACAAGATTTACAACATAGTTGCAGGTCGTCACAGAAAGGCGACCACAATTTTCTTTGTGAATGATCCCAATGACCTAGATGAGAGTATCAAGGATAGTGAACATCAGAGGCGTACAGGCGTTACTTATGTAGGAGGTAGCCGAAATGTATTTATGAGAAGAGATGATCCACTGCCAACATCCAGGCTGTTCAATGATATGTTCAAAAATCCAGGCAACAAAGTTCGGCTCCAACAGTTTCTGAATGCAGAGTTCAAGATCATGTCATTAGAACACCCAGAGACGACTTATATATACTCAGTGAGAGATCGTTGCTCAGATCTGCAGAAGGGCACAGAATTAGAGCAATTCAAATGCCAACACACAGAAGCGGACACCATCCTTCTCTATGTGTATTACCAACTAAGACAGTCAGGTGTGGAAGACACTGTTGTTATCGATGCAGAAGACACAGATGTTATGGTTCTAGCAGCATATGCAGCCCATCAGATTGAAGGACCATTAGGCATCAAGAGGAAGGGCTTCGTCTATGACTGTAAGAAGCTTTGCAGTCCTGAAGTGGTAGATGTCATTGTCCCCTTTCATGTTCATACTGGTGCAGACGCTGTCTCTGGCTTCTATGGCCATGGCAAACCATCCATCTTTGAATCGGCAATGAAGTCAGAGGAAGGAAGGAGTTTGCTCCAAGGACTTGGGAAACAGCTGCCTGTTTCAGAAGACACCCAAATCGACATGGAGCAATTCACAATTAAGTTCATCTACAAAGACAAAACTAGTACAAGTTTAGCAGAGGCAAGAGCAAAGAAGTGGGAGAGTATGAAGAAAAAAGCAACACAGAGAATGCCACCTGATTGCGACTCACATCAGATGAAGGTCAGACGAGCCAACTATCAGGCATACATCTTCCTAAACTTCAGGAGTCCAGATGCTCCTCCATCACCTCTCCACCATGGATGGCACATGAAAGATGGCAACCGCATCCCACTTCGATACACCAAGCCTGCATTGCCTACACGTTTGACCAACCTAATACCAGCAGATGACCAATCTCCACAGTCTGACTCCGATTCGGATATCGATAATGATCAAGACTCTGTCTCTGAAGATTCCAACTATGCGTAGAACCTCTGATTTGTCACATCTATCCGTCCTTAAAGGTATGTTGCAACAAATTAAGACATTTACCATACCTAGTAAGAGAGCGCAGGGTTGTGTATGTAACTGATGGGCAGATAAAAACAATCAAGCTAATTTGACATTGTGGCCACCAGTTAAATTACATGTAAACTGCATTGTGACACTTAAAAAAAATGAACATGGCTTTGTTGTCACTCCTATCGTATTTTAACCCTAGAATGAAACTGCTCTTTCTCATTCAGTGTGAGAGTGCATTACAGCACAATTTAGGTCAATTAAACATTTTTGACCCCAAATGACCCCAATTTGGCCTTATAATGACTCCTTACATCAATTGAATATGGTTTTCTAAATTAAAAACAAAAAAAAAATCATTCACTATTATTCATCAATTTACACATAATTTGACACAAATAACTCCTAAGTCTGTTAGTGTATTTTGATCCCAAAGGAGCTCATTTGACCCCAAATGACCTTATTTTGACCCCTTATATCTTTTGAATACGGTCTTCTCAAGTAGAAATTGTCTCATTCAAAATTCTAAATAAAAATACATATAAACAGACACAAAAAACATGAAAATTGATCGATCCTAACACTTTTAGTGCATTTTGCCCTCAAATGAAAGTTTGTTGACCTTTTGACTTTTCCGGCCATAACTTCTTAACGGGAGGTCAGGGGTATATGATCATGTACACTTTTTTGTTCAGTATGACGAGACAAACAATTTGACATGTCTTTTAACATAATCAGGGCATTTAAAAAAATTGACCCCCTATTGACCCCATTTTGACCTTATTTTGACCCCTACAAGAGTTGCCGGGGGTTAGGAGGGGACTACCCAAGCTAATTTTAATCATTGACCTCCAAACAACTCAAAAACACTTAAAAACCTTTGTCCCCGAAAAATATCAGCGGGGTCTACACACTTTGACTCTACTACATAGGCTGTTTACTTTATAGTAATGACAGAGCTTTAAAATGAGCTCGAAATTGAATTTTTTAGAAATAGAAAATGAAAATAGCTGCGTAACTCTGTATTATAATACAAGAAGGCTTTGGACTTTGGACGGTAAACTCATGTGATACAGGTATAGTATAGCTTAGTTGTGGTTTTCATCTACATATTCAGATATTTTATTTTGTGTTAATACAAACATTCAACAGGAAATACAAAAGGCAACTTTTGCATAGTAGGCAATCCGATTTTAATAGGGGATCTTCCGGTAATCTTTTAAAGGGCATTGACCTGCGTGATGAAAGGTGTTCAAATTATAACGTAGGCGACAGTGTAATATATAGGAAAGGGAGAGGAGGAGTAGACGTAGCAAGATATACGCCTATCTATCACCCCCTTAGATAGATTCGTGGGGGTCGGTGAGTAGGGGTTTATCTAAAGGGTGAAGTTGTCAACGTTAAAGATTTCCGGGGGTAATTGTCCGTTGCTAGCTGTCCGCAGGTGAAATGCCACGTGTTGTATTCATGATATGAAATAAGCTCTTGGCTCGATTAGTAAATTCATCTAAAAATTAAAATTAATATTGTATAAGTTGTATACGGCAGCGAATTCCCCCCCCCCCCCCCCCACTCCCGATCAAGGATTCAAAATCAAATTTTCAAATTCAAATAATACAAAATGGAATTTAAAAAAATGACAAATAAGGATTATCACCAACATAGACAAACAAATAAATAAACTAACTCAATGAAACAAAATAGATAACTATGCATTTCCCTGACGCTTAACCATCTTATCGTAATAAACGTATGGATACATTACTTTATGCTCACCCGCATAATCTTTCCAGTTTCAAAATCAGACAAAGAGAACTACCCCAAATAATGGGGAGAGGGGTCGACAAAACACTTTATTCTGGTAAACATGTTATTTAAACATAAATATACACTAAATATGATATATAAGAATTGTCGCTACCCGAATAGTGGTGGTTTCCTGACTACCGAAGTTTTACTAATCATTAGGGTGCTACATGTATAGTCCCCCCCCCCCACACACACACACACACATATACACACACACACACCCACACTCACACGCATACACACACCACTACCACCAACACATGCACCAGCACCATCAACACCAGCACCACCCTCCCCGCCTACCTATGCCCATCACATTATGTGCCGTAGTCATTACAGTGAGAGAGATTGGTTTCCGTTATGTGCTGTACTCTTTCAGAACCGAAACACATTGCCTGGTATAAGTGCTGCATATAGTTTGTGCAAGATAAAACATGGAGGATAACTTGATACAGAACTAACCTCGTTTGCAGATGTCAGATGTATGGATTATTCCGTTATTACAGTCAAATACACAGTAGCAAGAACCTTGAATAAGTCTAACACATATGACATGTATAACGAAAATCTTAATATCCCCCGCTAAAAAGAAATACGCACACAAACCATCAAAATGGGGATTCCCCATTACACATGAATAGTCTGTGAACACAGACTTTGTACTATGACAAATAATGGCTATTTGTATTGAATTTAGTTCGTCAACCAGAAATAATTAACGATAATAATAATTATTATGGATACAAAACCAGCATAGAAATTTGAGATCAAGCAAAACCTAATTTTGAAAAGTACATTAGGTCGCTGTAGGTTATTGTTGAAAATGTCATCTTACCCAACAGGTTTATTTGCTTGAGCTCCCCCCCCCCCCCCCCCCCCAACTCAGATTTGGTTTGAACGGGGGTGTGCCGTTCAAGTCTCGGAACCCCTACCCATTATTAGTGGTCATTTGGGGGATATTTTTTTTTTCAAAAAAGAGTCAATTTTCGGGTGTTTTTCGGTTGTTTGCCATGCAAACACCCAAACATTTTGCAAATTTGGGAGATTTTGAAAAAAGAGACCCATTTTTAATGGTATTTTTGCTAAAAGGGGGACCCATTTTTAGGGAGTCTTTTTGAAAAAATGACCCATTAGAGCGGCACACTCCGTACGTCTTAATATGTGAGTACCCCTCCCCCTCCCCCCCTCCCCCCCTCCCCCCCTCCCCCCCTTCCCCCTCCTGGGGGGGGGGGGGCTTGAGCCCCTGTACAAAACAAGACTGCTAGACAAATGTGCGCAATGCTATTAAAGAAAATGGAAAGTTAATTAATTTCGGAATAGTCATATTGTATGAAGAAAAACAATTTATATAGCGCATATTGACACGAGTCATGTTGCAAAGACTATCTCATGTTTTAAAAAGAGACGTGGAAAATCCCCGCAACGAAGTGGATTGCGCAATATCACTCGGGTTGTTACTGAGGACGTTCCATAGAGATATATACTACTAACACTAGAGGGCGTACTCGCTCAAATAGCTGTTCCGAGCTGGAGCGTTAACCGCCATTACTAAGGAGGGCAGAAAAACGAACGACCCAACAAGATACTGTGCACAACATACGTGGAAAATTTGAAGAAGCCAGGTTCGTGCGTTGCATTTGGTTGTTCGAACCGAAGAAAGAAAGGGAACTGCATAATATTTCACAAGTAAGTTCTTCTTAATGTTATGTTAATTAAATAAGGAGATTTTAGAGCTAAAAATGTGCTTTATGCGGGTATTGTCTCATGACGAACCACCGCAGTGCAGCGCAGCTAACGTTCCTGCAGTGCTCACAGCGGAGCGCGCCAGTCCACGCCCGACGGCCTAGGGCAGGCATGGGTCAAGGTTCTGGGGACGGTGATGGGGAAAATTCTGCTGCGCTGGAGTCGCAACTCCAAGAGTCAGAGAGTCCAACTCGGAAATATTAACTCCATGAGCTTGATTCTATTAACGAAAAGTTTAGAATATATAATTAACTTTATCTTATCTAATTTCAAGATAAAAATCAAATGTCAACTTCTTTATGTTTTAACTAGATCTAGGGTCTAGACTAGACTCGATCTAGATCTAGATCTAAATACTCTAATTTCTAAAGCCCGAAAGGCAGATATAGGCTAGCCTGCCATATTTCACATCACAGGAGTTATCCAACTAGGCTAGGCTAGCCTAAAAAGCCCACCGCACACTTCACTATTTCTATCAAATTTGCTTATGACTTGCTGACATCATTATTAAATACTGCTTTGTGATTGGCTGGAAGGTGCTTTCAGTTTCAGTCTTAAAAATCATATGAAATAGCATGAATAGTAGAACAATTGTCATTGTATGAGAAAAAGCTCATTATTGTTTCCATTTGCTTTTATTGTAATGCAGAAATACACCCAAGAGAGGAAAAGAATGTTACACACCACTCCTTCCTATGCTGTGCCTACTGTCTTTCCTGGACATCCTCCCTATAAACAGACCCATGGCTCAAGACTCCCAACAAAACCATGTACAACATCCAAAAGTGTTCCCGTGCCTCCAAAGAAACCCTATGACATTACAAAAGAACATGACTATTCTTTTCTGTCTGAGTTGATCAGAAACTGAAGATAACCAGACAGCAACTGCAGGATATGCAAAGAAACAGCTTCAAGTGGTGAACAGAAGGTAAACAGGAGAGATGGAAAAACCATGACTCTCTTGCAGGAAGTCCATGAAAGCAAGCTCATTAAACAGGATCAGCTTGACCTACTTCAACACAACTTTGGAGAGAACACATTTACAGAAAACCCCAATTTTGTCTTATTTCATCAATATTTGTTTTCAAACATATTTGTTTATGAAAACCTACAGAATGTTAAATGGCATCCTATTTCACATTATACAATTTAAGTGAAATTTTGCCATCAAATTTTTGGGGCTCCAAACACTTTAGAGGGGCTTTAATACACATGTTCCAGCATTTTACAAGTTTCAAGTAGTTGTACTTGTAGGACATGACGTCTAAATTCACATCACAGGGATTGTGTCTGGTGTGGATTGGCTACGATGTAAATAGGCTTTCTTGATCTGGAGAATGATACTATAGTGACATCTTGTGTTTTACAATTACAACTGTTCTGTAGTCTATACACTGTTGCAAATGTTGAGGAGACCAGGGCTTAAAGCCCTCCTTGAAGTCAGGAAAACCTGTTTTATCTCTTGTTATAGTGAGCAAAATTCCTCAGTCTATGCAAAAAAGAAAACAGAGAACTTAATTTGTACAAACTACAGAGACAGATCAGTCTTTTATATTTTGCCTCTTGTCTGTATAGCTTATTCACTGGATGATTGACTGTAAAGCCGTTTAAAAATGGAGAGAGCTTTTAATAATCTTCAAGAAAAACAGAACAATCTGAGACTTTTGTTCTGTGTAATGAAATAAAATTCTTGGGACACATTGTGACAGTTGCACAACTTAACCATAATGTTCTGTTCGTTAACTTTACACGAAGGCAAACTAAAGTGGAACTTAGAAGAGTTGATTACATTAGGGGTAAAAAATATGTACTTGAATTTTGAGTTGTTGTGAGGTACACTGTATTTGAATATTTACTCTATAAGCTTCATAATTGTACCTGCTGTATCTGATTCAGTTGCTCTAATTTTTGCAAATTATTTTCACTCTACATGTGCTTTGATTCTGCAGGTTTAGATAACCTGAGATAAACATATAGACCTTTTTTATAACATTTGTTGTCTGGATTGCTCTCAACCAAGTGATTTGCATCATTAACGATGAAAAGCAAGAAATTCACATCAAGTGAGCCACGTTTTCGATATGGTAAACGAGGAGAATTCACAGATGTGTGGCAATTGAAAAGCTTTGTGTAATGCACAGTTGCACACCTTATACACACCCATAGATCTTTTTTGTACGTAGGTTTTAATTTTGGCCCAAAATGGAAAACTGCTTTTGAAGAGATTTGATAACAGAACAATTATGGAATAATGTCACTAGATGTAAACCCATAAAATTGTGCACTATTTTGCTATCTAGTATATTTACTGTGTAAATTTGAGGTTAATCAGTTTCAAAACTATTATTATTCCCTGATGAATAATGATGTCAAAAGACCTTGTTACTGTGAGGTTTCACTGAATGGTGTATTGCAGTATCCTGAGATGAAAGTGTCTCCAATTATAGTTCTTCATAGCAATACAGGTAACTTGGAATATATATGCTCAATTACTATTTCTGGTTTGCATTTATTTATTTTATTATTCGATGAAATGTCTTTGTAATTAGTAAATTTGGGGCTAAAATCTGAGATGTTGTTTTTGCAATGTCTGTCCTTTCAATTGTGATGTATATACGTCCAATAAAATTTCAAAACTTAAATGCCTATCAGGCGCGGATCCAGGATTTTCCAATAGGGGGGGCCGGAAATTCGAAATTCGCGCAGACCGTTATTTAAACTTACCAATACTGACAAGGTCATATTAGAAGCACTGTACTTTAATAGTGTACTGGTACCTACAAACGGGCACCATTATTTTGGAAAGGGGACATGCTCACGTCACATCTCTTGTCCGATATCAACATTCCCCGTTTTCAAGTTATGCTCGCGCGCAATTTTTTTGACATTTCCATCAGTGGGGGCTGAAGCCTCTTGCTCCAATATCTGTTTCCTGGTTTAATAATTTGGCGAGCGAGCGAAGCGAGTGAGCGGAAATTTGAGCTTATGTATATATGTTTTGAAAGTGTTAATCGTCACCAAAATATACGAGATAAGACATAACAAATGCATATTGGTATTTTTTAAATTTTCGGGGAAAGAGAGGCTGCAACCCCATCCCGCATTAAACTGCAGGTGTTTTGAAATCAAATCAGACTCCCCAAAAAAGTATAAACCAAAACGCACGAATCCAGTTTCAAAAATCCAAAAAATGTCAGCTTCAGAGGGGGGCACATCACCCCTCAGACTCCCTCTAAAAGTATTAACCAAATCGCACGAATCCAGGTAAAAAAATTCAGCTTCAGAGCTAGAGAGGACCCCCCCCCCCCCCCTCCCCACACACCATGGGTGTCGATCCTCACGTAATACTTATTCATCAGGGGGGGGGTGAATGAATAGATCATCCCCCCCTGATGAATAGGTATCAGTGACAGATCGACACCCATGCCACACACACACACACATACAGACACCCCCTGTGCGCGCAAGCGCGAAATTAACGCTGGCGCTAATGCGTAAGCAGGGGCGGCGGAGCTATTTCCAAAGTGGAAAGCACCAACAAAAAAGGGCACCTACAAAGCGAAATCTCAAAGCGAAAATATACATTTTTTTAGACATTGGTATATACCCTTTCATTGTGATTCCATTATCAGGGACGATTTCAATATTTGTTTTTCTTTATAAAAAGATATTGCTTAAGCATCACACTTTCGGCTGGGTGTGATTGTCTGAATATTTATTTGCGAGCGAGCAAAGCGAGCGAGAACAAAATGTAAGATCTGTGAGGTCGCAGAGTGAAAAATTACATCTTATAAAGAGGAAAAAAACAAATCATGATGGGGTTATAAG